ACTCCTAATCTAAGAGATGCTATTGTAGTCCTAAAACTATTGCAAGGCGTAAGTGCTGGGAGAGAGATTTCAGGTAAAAGGCAGCACAGTGTCACAGCAGGGCACCGGGCTGGGACTCTGGACACCAGTGCTCTATGCTCAGCTGTGTCTTGAAAAGCCCCTTCACCACCCCGTGCTCCACCTCCTCTCCTGTGCTCTGCCTGCGTTGCCCACAGAGCCTGTAAACTGTGGAGTGAGGATGCACGCAGGGACCCCAGTCCCTGGATTTACTGGCAGAAGCAAAGTCAATAATGCAATTGCTTCTCCAACCTTAGCTGCCAGGCTAACTGCAGAGGTTGCTTTGGAACCGTCAGCACCAATCTTGTACTGGGCCCCACAAAGGTGCAGTGTCTCCTGGACCTTCGTATTGCACTGATGCTGGGTCAGTTTGTTTTGCATGTAAATCAGTTAATCCACGTTAAGGAAGCCCAAAGCAGGGCAGCCGAGACATGGCGACAGCTCCCGGAGCCATCCCAATGTCATTGCTCTCATCCCAACATCTGACATTGCTCCCAACAGAACCTAAAAACTTGAGGCTGAAAGAGCCAGAATACCAAACCCCTCCACCAGCACCTACCCCCGACGCGATACAGAAATGCAGGCCATCACTGAGGAAAGCTCAGCCATCATTTATTGATGCCTGCTGCTTTCTGGCCCTATTTTCCATGTGCATAATTTATAGGGAAAAGTAGTTTCACAGCAAGCAAGCAAGCAGCTGGCTGAAAGAAGCCAAGAGCAAACTGTCGTTAGCTCTCGCTACAACCCATGTGTGCACGGGTCCAGGGGAGAGGGACGAGAGAGGAGGGTGCACATTAGTTTTATTGGGACAGATTAAATGATCTGGGCCAAGAGGAAATCAAAGAAGTACACATTTAGCCTCTTAATGGGAAGTTTCCTAGGCACTTAGGAAGCCCCTCGAAGGACAAACTCTACAGTAAATGATGCTGCCTCTGCAGTCCTGGAGACTGGGGTTCCAAGCTTGGTGTAGCACTGGGTCCAGTTCCAGGAAGCTCAGCAGAAAGGGTCTCAACAAGCGATTGCATGTGTATATCAGAGACACAACAGTCCTTGTTTTCCAGTCAGTGAACATCTGACTCCCCACCTTGCCCATCAGTCAGCACCTTCTCTGCACCAGCGGTGAGGGCCATCTTCTCAGCCCAGCTGGAGCATAGGAGATGCCGCATACCAGGAGGCAAACACATCACGTGTGCGCATATTGCTTGATACAACGGACATGGACAAACATGCACATGCCAGTGTAATTGGGATCACTTGCTTACACCAATGAAAATTACCGCAGGATCAGGAACGGATAGATGTACAGCTACTTTGGAGTAGCTCATGCCACTGCCTGCACTCAGTGGCAGGAGAGCAGGCAAGAGACAGTTTGCCTTTGGCAATGGCTACTCCAGGCTAAAAAAAAAAAATAATACAGCCTAAATTTTGGAAAGGGAGGGAGATGCATATGACAGACATATTCCACTCACAGCTGCAGGAATACCCTGACTTTGACTGTTGCTATCAGAGCAACACTTGGATGGGTTACAAATACTTGGGGCAAAAATGTTGGCAAATGGAATGAGGAAAAAAAGGATGTAAAGGGAAAATAAAACAGGATTTTCTGGGCTCTTTGGTTCTGACTTCACAGCAAAGACCTAGACACAAATCCTCACCTAAAGCATCCAGTGTCTCCTACTCCCAATCGGGCACAAACAGCTAATCAGAGAGCAAAGGTCCCTGGATCAATGCGGGGCTTGATGGTTCCCTCCCCTAGCTAAGCTATGATCCATATTTCACCAGCATACCTCTGCGAGGGCCCAGCTACAAGCCTCTCTGCTCCTCCAGGCAACCATCAGAGTGGAAAGCTTTATAAATTTTACATGGCCCTGACGGAGTTGCCGTCAGTCATAGCAAATGAGATTAAAAAGACAGGAGGTACCTTGGCAATTTTGTCTCATTGATACAAAAACAGGGGAAGAAGGCAACAGGCCGCGCTGCCCTGATGCCCGCTCTCCTTCTAAGTGCAAAGAGGTGGGGTGGGAGGTAAGAAACCCATTAGGTGCAGCCTGCCCAGGCTCCTTGCCTCTGCTTGACAAGGGCTCTGAGAAGGCGTCTTTAATGAGCGCAGCAGCGTAAAAGCTTTCAGCAGGATCAGAGCTCCCTTGCATGCCACTGTCACATGTTGGTGCCAACACCTGACTGCAGGCACACCAGCTCCTGCCTCCATTGCCCCGAGCTCAGAGGCTTCGTGGCCTCATTTCCCACATGCACCCATGCACATCCAGGCCAAGCTAGAAGCCAGGAGGATACACAGACGGCCGGCACCCGAGGGGCAGAGAGCGGGCAGAGCAGGCTGCTTTCCTCCCTTCCCTGCTTTGGCAAAGAGCTGGCTTTGAACCTTGATACCAAGGATCCAACCTTACATGACCTGGGTGCTGCTGGAAAAAGAAGAGGGGGGAGAAATCCTTGGGTCTCTCTTCAGCAACAAGCTGCCTATTATTGGCTAATTAGAATGCTTTAAGAGCCACCTGCCTTCAGAGAATTCAAACCCTGTCAAGGATGGTTAAGTTATTGAGGGAGAGCCAGGGTCTACTGAGATCGAAAACTTTTGAGTCCCAAGGAGCCCATTACAGCAGGCAAAGGGGAGCAGAAAGGTAAGGGCTGCTTTAAAAAGCCAATGAAAGCCAAACAGGGCAGTGCCAAAACCCCTGTAATTTAAAAGGCGAGTCTCCCAAGCAACACCCCCTGCTAAAATACATGCACAAGAGAAGCCACAGATGCTCACAGCACAGCCACTTGGTGCTAGGCCCCACTTGCGTCAAGAACCCAGCAGGTGAACTGTTCTAAGGGATGGAGCTCAGGCTCAGCCCGTCCCAGGAAACAATTTAATTAGGGGTCCACTTGCTGTGCAGAACACTGCTAGATAAAGAGCTCCACCTTCCAGTAGATGAGTGCAAAGCCGAGGAGCTGGCAAGCAACCAGAAGCTCTTTTCAGCTGCTGTACATCACCGAATGCCACAAGTCTAACATGCTAATGGTAACCGGGATAATCAACGCTGCGGCGCAAACGAAGCTCCCAACGTGGCCACTCGGTCATGCTGATCAGGAAGAATTTGCCTGTGATCTGGGATGGGGTGGGGAGCAACACCACCCCAGCCAAGTCTATAGAAAACACTGCATTTTTAAAACAGGAGTCAACTGATATCCCAGCACAATGCAGCAAGCAGCTTTGATGGGCAGGTTCGAAAGGCACGGCAAGCCAATTTAGCAAGTTCCCTGTGCTCGTATCATCCACACACGCAGCTGCAGCATCTTAGATTTCATCCCCTTGTCTTCTTTCAGCTCCAACGCTACTCGACCGCATTCCTTGCAAGATGCACACGCTGCTCATTATGCTCCAGCTCCAAAAAATGCATTGTTTTAGCCCAGGCCCTAAGACCAATAACCCTTTGTATTTCAGGAGACCTCCATGGATTAGCTGAGTCTGGGGAGCAGAGAAAGGGACGACTGTTTTTATACAATCTGATGTATTCATTAAAAAAAATGGGTTTGGTTTCAATGAAAAACTGGAGTTTTGAGGAAAGAGCAAGTTAATAATTCATTACCTAGCCTTGGAGCACTTAGCACACCGCTGGGGCTGCACACACAATAATTACGGGACTCTAATCAGCTCTGCCATTTTCACATTAAAGTGAAACTAATTAAAAAAGACAGTGAAACTAAGCAGGCTCCTGCCCAACCTTATCATTCCCCCCACCCTCCTCCTTCCAACAGTACAAATGGGGATAAGTTAATACATTTTGTTTGGATTTAGCTTTATCATCCAAAGAAACAAGACAGGCTCTGCTTAGGGAGACCTGCAGTCCAGGGCATCCACGCTCATGATGACAAAAACCTCTGTTTCCTTTGAGACTGACTGTTCCCATCCCTACCAGTGTAGTTCTCCAGTTCAGGTAGCAGCAGAAAGCCACCTGCATCAGCTGCTTTATGACTGTGCTGCTTCCTCCTCTGAAGCAAAAAACTCAGGTGAGTGATAGTTGAAATGGCAAAGCTTGGAGATAATGCACCACCTGCCCTGTGTGGGCAGGCAAAAAGCAGGGGAGTGTACGTGCAGTTTTGGACCACTAACATCTTTCTTTCTCCCCCTTCAGGAAACCAAGAAGAACCCATTGGTCTGCTTTATAAGGGCACAGTGGATGCAGGTGATAAAGGAGACCTCGCCTCTGCCTCCAGGTCAGTCTCTCACCATGGAAAGTGGCACAGAGCAGTCAGATAGCCTACAGTGTGATGGCTTAATTAATATAGGGCTATAAACCAGACAGCAGCAACACACACAAGGACAGGGGGTCAGAGGAGAGAGCAGAGACCCAGAGAAGCAGTGACCTGATCAAGGTCACCCAGAAAGTGAGCAGAAAAGCCAGGAGCAGAAACAGAAGCAAGTTCTCCCAACCCCTCTCTTACCACACCTGCTTCTAGTGAACTCAGATCTCTCTACTGCTCAGGGCACTTCCCACAGCTGTGAAGGGACCACTGCGATGGCCTGAATTGTGTGAAATCTCTCTCCCCTGGCAATGCCTCCCTCTAGCCCAGCCTGCCAGGGAATGCATGGCTCTTGAAGACAGGCACCAAGCAATAATAAGAAAGCTGCCACCTCCCTTGGTAGATCCTAGGAAGGCAGGGCTGGAAAGCAGGGACCTCAGGAGGTCAGCTAGACCAGCACCCTGCTCAAGGCAGGACCCTTGGTTTCCAAATCATCCCACACAATGGCTCATCTGACCTATCCAATCCAGTGGTTAGTTTCCCTCATTGTTAGACACCTCTGTCTCCTTCCAGGCAGAGAAGCTGGGGTCCCTAAGGCACTGAGAGGCAAACATGCATATTCAGCTTTCAAAATGGCCTGTCATCCAACTGCCATGCCCTGGTGGGGCTCTGTCGGCACAGCAGCTGCTCAGGGGACTTACGGGCTTCATGCTTGCTTTGGAGGATGGCAGGATGCTGAATTAACTGCCAGCCACAGATCCATCCAGACCACAGCTCTAAAATGTCTCTCTCGGGGGATGCAAAAAAAGCAGGAGCCACTACTCTGGCCCATGGAGCACAGGGCTGGGCCTTGCCTGGCCCTGAGTTACAAACTCAGTGACTTGCATCCTCTGCCCAGCACAGAGGTAACTGGACATCACCAGAAGCAGAGAAAAAGTAGCTCCCCCTCTTCCTGCCTTTTTCAAGTAATAACCCATTTCAGTGGCTTGTTGGAAGCATGCCGACATGGCCGTATTTTATGAACATGGCTGCATGCGCCTGGCGCCTTGCATGCATGAGCAAGGCCCCTGAATCAGCAAAACTGTGACATTGGCTGAAGCAGCATCTCAGGCTTTTCAGTGTGGAAATCTCTGTGGCTGGACTGAATCAGACACTGGCACAAGGAGAGAAATGGCACTAGGTTGACTCCAGGCGACTGGCTGATTCCCACAGAGCCTGGCTCCCCAGGATGGAGAGAGCGAGCCAGGGGAATGAGAAATCTCCAGCACCACTGACTCAGGGAATTCCTGCAGACAGCGCCTGCATTCTGACTTCATCCACACCCCCCATCCTACGATCATACTGTTCGCCTGCTACCAGGGAAGGTCGTTTGTAAATGCACCCCCTTCTAGATTCCCAACTCTTTCATTATTTTACCCTTAAGACACGCCAGGCATTGAAGTCATAGCAATCGGCACCAGCAGTCTCAAGCATCTGCCCCCCAATCCAGTCTTTCAGCTCAGCTCCTCAGCAAAATAAGCAGCAAAACCCACAACAGACTAAGAGCAAAGCACCTGTACCCTCACCTGCTCACCAGGTCCCATTTCTCTGGGAAGCAGGTGGTTGTATTCACTCCCAGAACAACTTCTAGTAAACAACTGGCTTTGTGAATGACTACATCAGTCCCAGGAGAAGTCCCACCGTGCTAGGCCCGAGACGTGCCGACAAGTCACTTGGGGAAAGCCAGACAGCGCCATGACCCGTCTCACCCCACGGTGCTATTCCTGGCCAGGTACCAGGCAGGGCTTGCTCCCAGCAGGTGAGTTTTTGTTGCTCTGATTTCTCCACCCATAATCAACAGCCTAAAACAGGGGCAAGCAATTATTTTGAGTGGAGGGCTGCATACTGAGTTTTGGCAAGTCATCAAGGGCCGCATGACAGGCAGCCAGGGGCAGATAAATATTAATTTTCTAAATTTTGTAGGAGCCCCATGGGCCAGATAGAATGGGCTGGCGGGTCTCATTTGGCCCGTGGGCCATATTTTACCCACCCCTGGCCTAAAGTGTTTAGCAGCTAAAATGAACTTTGACATGCTCAGCTGAGCTTTGCTCTCCAGTCTCGAGCAATTCAACCGAAGACAAAAGTGGGGGTGGTGGACTCCTTGTAGGGGCTGGCTGGAGACACACCAGCTATGTTGCAATACCCAATGTAATCGGCACGAGCCATTGAGAACACAGTCAGGGTAATTACGATAATGCTGTGCCCTTCCACCCTGCCTTCCAGCTGTGACCTGCAGAGCACTTAGGTCTCTCCCATCCTGGAGAAAAGTATTGGTAGAAACAAATCTAAAGGCAGGGAAATGAAGGCTAAGGCAGGGTGACTTGTGTGGTATGGGACAGGCAAGAACAGACCCTGAAACTCAACTCCTCGTCCTTTACTGCAGCCACAAGGGACCATTCTCCCACATGCACGTGTGACTGATGCTGTGGAATATTCAGATTAATACACTGATTTCACAAATGTTATAGATGCTGTGAGCTCATGAATGGCTGTATTCCTAGCTAAATGGAGAAGACAAGGAACACTTCTTGCAGGAGCTAAAAAGCATGCAAGATAACAAAGGCAAATAGCCCACTCCAAACAATGCAGGTAACAAATCCTTAGAGGTGTCATCTCTAAGGAGGAAGACCATAGACTGGCCAGTCCTGGTCTGAGAGACCTGAGATGATAAAGGACATGAAGCTGTATAAACCATCCAGCAGCCCTGACCGGAGGGAAGGGGATACCACCTGGGCACAGGTATGACGCTGACCAGTATAAGCAGCCCCTGCAGGAAGACTTAAAAAGTATCCTAGACCTGGAAGGTGTCCATGTGGAAGGAAGATGGATGCCCATGAGAAAGGCCCATATCCAAGCCATTAACTGCTTTAAGACATGTTCCCTCCCAAACACTTTTGTCCTGAATTAACAATATTTTGCGTTCCTAAAGCTGTCTGGTCTCTGAGTAACCCTGAGCCTCTGAGAGAACAGTCCAGGCTGCTAAAGCAATGGCTGCAATATGAGTCCTCTTCTGGTGCTGTAACTGCAAGACTGTCATTCTCCCTCTCCACAGCTTTTCTTCATACCAACTGAAAGTGTCATTCACTTCTCCCCCACCCCCCCCTCAAGGTTTTCTGGCAGTTCCTTCTGCAAAGCTCAGATGCAGGGCAGTCAGTCTCCCCCCGGCACGCACAAGAAGAATACAACAAATAAAATGACAACATTTAAAGTGGCTCCTGGTACAATGGGAAAAGAATCAGCTCCAGCAATCCCTTGACAAGCTAACATCAGAGTCCCTTACAGCGCTCATCATTCCCCTTGATGTAAAAGGCCAGACTCTGACTCGTCTATCAGCCAGAGATGAAAATGGGTTGAAATTATGGTTCGCCTGAATCCACCTCGTATCCCAATTGGAGAGAAAGAAGTATTACATACCGACAATCAGGCAGATGTTTTGGCAGACCGATTCCAGCTGTGCTGTCTGCTAAAGAGCCAAGTGCATATTTTTAGTGCATGGATCCAGTTTATGTTGGCAATAATTCTTTCTAAAGAGGTCTTTACAAGTAATTAGCAAGTCATTTGTTACACTATTACTGACCCAAGCTTTTACCTTATCCTAGTAACTACTAAACATAGTTATCCATTAATAATATTCAGCACCTCTGGGGTGGTTTTGCAATAGAGCCCATATACAGAGCAGAGTCAGACATCCAATGTATAGAACAGCATTTGAAACCTCCCTAGCAGCTTCCAGCAAAGAATCAAAAGAGCATTTTACCAATAGCACCCGGCATGCCACATTCTTCGAGCACCCATTCCACAGCTGGGGAACCTGAGACACAAGGATGTGCCAAGGTCACGCAGCAGGGCCAGTCAAGTCTCCGTCATGCTGATGCAACCAGACCAGGTAACTTACTCTGTCTGACCCACAGGCAGGAAACCTGGTTCCCCACTCCTCAGCTGCTGGACAGAGCCTCTCAGGATTGCTAATAAGAAGAAACCCCTCTGGAGCCCTGAGGAGGGCTCAGACCCTCCCAAAGCAAACTCCCTGCTGGAGCTGAAAACAACAGTTGCAAAAATATTTGTGCACAGCCCTGGTGAGGGTCTCTAGGAGCGCAGACCTGATGCACCAAGTTCTGTGGGCACAGGGGGATTAACACCCCATTACAAGGGGGGGGATCCAAAAAAAAAAAAGTCAGTGGAGCGTGGCTTGCTAAGCCTCCAGTCAGGTCATGCCCTGCACCTGGCACCTGCAGCTCAAGCGATTATCACAGAAAGAATTGTTTTAAACCTCTGAAACGGGCCTGCACCTGCTGAATTTGTCCTCAGCGCCCAGCTCTCAAAGACCCTCGGTTGCAAGAGCTGGACCCTATTCTTTCCCACGCTGGGCACCCGAGGCACACGGCTGGCAGGAGCCACCCACAGCAGCTCGGGATTATAGAGCATGAGTGCGGAGAGCGTGCATTTTATACAGGGGGGTGAACGGCAGATACGGCAGGCACACGAGACACTACATCTAGAGGCGTGTGCGCCTATCACACACACACACACACTCGCAGGCTGTAGAGCTGCTGTGCACAGCCGCCCCCCGCCCAGGTGAGTCGGCAACTCGGCGGCGCGGTCCCAG